CTGATTTCAACACAACATAGTAATTATTATTAAACAGTTTACCTACATTAGTTGAGCTGATTTCAACACAACATAGTAATTATTATTAAACAGTTTACCTACATTAGTTGAGCTGATTTCAACACAACATAGTAATTATTATTAAACAGTTTACCTACATTAGTTGAGCTGATTTCAACACAACATAGTAATTATTAGTAAACAGTTTACCTACATTAGTCGAGCTGATTTCAACACAACATAGTAATTATTAGTAAACAGTTTAGGTACATTAGTTGAGCTGATTTCAACACAGCTGAGTTCAATAGTAATGATAAGGCATTGCCATGTTTAAGATTGTTGTAACTTTCTAAGAAAGTAATAAGCAAAAACTAACAAAACTTTAATCAATAACATAACATCATATTATACTCATAACTGTTGCTTAGTTAATTTTAATGTACAGGTTTTAATTGTTTTTAACTAATAAAAAGACAATAAAAACACAGAAAAATTAAAACTCCTATGCAGGAAAGTAAAATAAAAAACATTATATCAAACTGAAACCATATGATAATCAAGTTCTCAATCACAGAAATTAATTTATAACATTTAGTACAACTGCTTACAAAAGACATACGTTTTTAACTCAGATTTAAACTAAAACAAATTTTAAATATTACTGCAACAAGGGGTAACTCTGTGAAACTAAATAACTGATTTCATTTTGTAAATTACAAAGTTTTTAATGCTTTTCCAATCTACCTAACTACTGTACAGATAGAAATCCAGCTACAGTCAATGACAGCAAGCATTTTAAATTTACAAGGCCCTACATGTTCAGTAAAAACTTCATATAGATCAACCGTTGTAGGTTTTGTTTCTACATGTTACACACTCCGCATATTACAGTACAACTAGCATGAAAGAACATCACACAATATCTCCAGATTAGTCCATAAGAAGATAACTCAAACTTCACCTTTATGCTTTGCCATATCAATGAGTTTATATGCAGTCTTAGCTGCATTAAGAGCTCCTTCAATTACTTCATCTGGAGAACCAACAAAGGTATAAACTGTGCGATTGGTTGAGGGACCACAGTCAATATCCAAAAGACTAACTCCTTCCGTGTTACGAATTGACTTAGCAATTTGTTCAATGATCTAAAAGTAATAAAAGTTGTGAAATAAAGATAAAATTTAACATAATAAAGATGCAATAAAGAGTCAATTGGTCCTTTAAGGCTGTCCCTGCACACTCACCTCCAAGAAAAAAAACAACAACAAAAATGAAATTCTTGTACTCTTTTATTTTTAAAGAAGTTAGCACTCTAATATGGTGCTGGCCTCCACTACTGATGACAACAACTTATTCCATAAGCTATTCACAATGTCAGAAAAAGAAAACTTAGAGTCTATCCTATTGTTTCCTAATCTTAAACTTCTGTCCTTTCATCTTACTGTCTTCAGAATTTAACTACGAGAAAGAAGCCATCCATCCCAAAATAATCTTACAAATCTTGCTAAGTAAATCACATTGATGGGGGATGGGAAAAGGCCTTAAATGTATTAAAGGATGACTAGCTGAGAGAAGACACAAATATCTATTAATGAAGGCAAGTCAAACTGTTACTAGTGAAATGCTTTGTGCATAATTAGTAAAGTTTATGAATGACACTAAACTCTTGGTTATTTCTTGTTGTACTGGAGATGTTGAGGTACTACAGATTGGCTTGAATAGCCTGATAAGTTGGAGAAATGACCTTTAATATAATAAGTGCAAAGTAATGAAGTTAGGTTACCACAACTTGGAGTACACATATATAGGAACCCTTTCAATAGTACAACTGAAAAGAGGGACATGGACAAAGACCTTGGCAGTACTTTGTTCCATCTTACTGGAGCTTAAGAGGGAGAAATCATTGAATCCTAAAAAAAATGGATTTAAAGTTTTCATTTTTGCTTTTCCTCAGGGGTGGGTGTGCAAGAACAACCTTGTTGTCTGTATAATATGTTTTACGTTAAAAACTTTAAAAAAATGTTCATTTAATTGAAATTTTTCTTCACCATTAAAGAAGAAAAAATATTAAAAACCTTGAATTTCCTAATATTTAAAATCACAGGTAAAACATTTATCACTTTCAAAATTCATACATTGTTTCTTTTGAAATTTCTTAAAGCATCAATTTTATCATTAACTATTGTTTTTAGTTACTAAACAAATACCTTTAAAGTCAAATTTGACATTTTGAGTTTACATTTTTATAGTATTTTTTTTTCTCATATTTTAATTTATTTTTAATTCAATATGACTCGGCATCTATCAAATGTCATGTTTAATTTGATTTCAAGAGGTTAAGGTTACACGTTTAGTTTGATATCATGAGGTTAAGGTTACACGTTTAATTTGATTTCAAGAGGTTAAGGTTACACGTTTAGTTTGATATCATGAGGTTAAGGTTACACGTTTAGTTTGATATCATGAGGTTAAGGTTACATGTTTAGTTTGATATCATGAGGTTAAGGTTACATGTTTAGTTTGATATCATGAGGTTAAGGTTACATGTTTAGTTTGATATCATGAGGTTAAGGTTACACGTTTAATTTGATATCATGAGGTTAAGGTTACACGTTTAATTTGATATCATGAGGTTAAGGTTACACGTTTAATTTGATATCATGAGGTTAAGGTTACACGTTTAATTTGATATCATGAGGTTAAGGTTACACGTTTAATTTGATATCATGAGGTTAAGGTTACACGTTTAATTTGATATCATGAGGTTAAGGTTACATGTTTAGCTTGATTTCAAGAGGTTAAGGTCACAAAAGTTTCAAAATTTTTAGATGCATGGTTAAGCTATTTTTTGGAAGTATTTCTAAGGTTAGTTTAGGTGACCTGAGTATTAAAAGTGAAAATTATACACTTAATATTACCATATACTTTGGTGATCAAGACCAAAACTGTCCTTACTTACTATTAGTAATATAAATCTTAGACAGAATTAGTTGTTTTTTTTTGTTACATCTGCTACTGTGAAGCTTACAGTAATACTTTAACTGATTATGTGGGTCTGATGAACGTTTGATCTCTGGGGAAAGCAAATCTTTCAATTCTTATTATATATGGGATATGGACATATGAAACTGTGTTTCATCCTCTTGTTTGAGGCTTAGGAATTATCTCTTATAGCGTAACTAACGGCCTTCTTATATTACTAATTACTGTTCTTAGAATCGGTTACGTTCAAACAAGCAATTATACAGGACTGACTATACGGTATACCAAACATCAACATCACGGTTAGTTAACTAAAAAGCAAAGTATATGGCATTTAAAAATGAAACGCTTAACTTTGTTTCTTAATTTTAGTCTTAGAACTCTCCAATACACATATTAATCCTCTTTTCCTCAACCTAGTACTAGTAGTATTACTACCAAGTAGAACATGATTTTTGTTTGAAAACTTAAAAGTTTATTGTGCATTCACTGCTACTTACCTCCTCACTTTGGCCTTCGGAAAAATTGGGTACACATTCAACGATTTTTACTTTCATTGTTCTTAGAAAAATAAACTATATAATATATTTTAAAATAACAACAAACTGCAAAGAAAAACTCGTCTTAGCAGATACGCTTAAACGCAGATATAAACAAATTACTCTGTTGTGCAAGGCAACTGGAACGGTGTTTTATTCACGCGATATAGTCTATAAATTTTAGGGGTCAGGTATCACAGCACTGACAACTCCAACAGTCAAGTGGCAATGGTCACTTCTCGACTCTTCTTTTAAACCTAAGAAAACCGGTTTCCACGAATCGCGCGACGTAAACAAGCAGCGTAAACGCCTTCGTAGACTTAGAAATTACGAGACAAGGTTAATTCTTGAAAAACAAAAACACGGTAACCTTTGTAACTACCACTTACTCTGCAACAGTGCACCTTGGACTAAAACTTTATACATTCGTTCATTATCGGTATATATTACAACTAGAGACAATGTGATTTATTTTGCCAGGAACAAAAACAATATATATACAACTTTGTGGGTGTTTGGTTTTGGAGAATATGAATTAGGAAACTACTACTACAAAAGCAAAAAAAGCAACAAATTTTATGAATTGAAATATTACGTTTACATGAAATAGCCTTGTACAAATACAAGATATCCATCAACCTAGAGGCGTCGGATCCGGGGGTTCTGTGGCACCCCAACTTTTACATATTTGTCTTACATAGCAACTGGAAATTTATTATTATATCAATTTTCTAGAGGGCATGCCCCCAGACACCCCTAGATTGAGCTTCCTTTCAATCTCTCATTATAAAATCTGCATGTCTAGCGAAGCACCCCCACTTTGCGACTCCTTCCAACACTACTACATCAATCAAATCACTTTTATGAATCTCGGTTTAGTTGTTGTTAAGCGCAAAGCTACACAATGGACTATCTGTGTTTTACCCACTACGGGTATCGAAATCCGAGTTTTAGTGTCGTAAAAGCATGCAGGTTTACCACTGAGCCGTCGGGTTTCTTTGAATCTCGTATTTTTATCAAAGGATATTGATAGTGATATTTGTTAGAACGCTGTTCTTTCATTGGGCGGGTTCTTTTAAACGTATTTGTTAAAATAATTCGAAATTCAGTCCACGTAACGATAACAAATTAGTTTATTTATTTCTTAATTAACGTTTCTAAAAGCTGCCTTCACTAGTCGTTGCTTGTAGGCCTAAGTTTACTAATACTGATCCAAATATTTCACTTAAAGTTAACTAACTGACTATCTTCATTTAATCATATAAAGCATAGTGTTTGGCTTTTCTTTGCATATAGACGCTTGATACATTAAGAACGATTGAAATAATAATTTGAGTAATTATTAATATATATTTGTTACTTTATAGATTTAATAGATATCTGTTGTTGCTTTATTAACATTTTTACGCTTATACCGTGAGCTAAAACGGTGCTGCTATGATTTTATTTTGTTTATGAGCTCGTTGCTGTCCTAATTTAGGACCTTCTTTTTAATAAGTTCTTAAGAATGTTAAAAAAGAGAGAGAAAGGGGCCCGGCGAGGATGTTTTCCCCGGGGCCGTGCTGGCTCTCGGCGCTCCTGATCACGTGAACGAATATATATATCGTGTATGACTCCCCTAAACCTTTTCGCCACTTTTGTTATAAAACAACCCCTATAAGATGTGTGGGGCCCACATTACATCTTCATATGTTATGAGTACATTACAGTAAGTGTGGATACAACTGGCTATCCTTCTTTTTTGTATTAGACTTGGTAGAGCAAAACCCTTTTGCTGCCCACTGGACATGTGTGTCACAAGGGGGCGTTTTGCAAAATGGTAGTAAAAGGTTTAATTTCTTTTTTTTTTTCAAATATGGCTTTGTCATAGTAAATACAAATCTTATAATGACTGAAATAGACACAAATTTTACCATTCCAAAACTAATTTAGAATATATCTTTAATCAGGTATAGTCATGTAATTTTTTCTAGATTTTCATGTTCTGTATATAATATGACATTCATGTTGATTGGACATCGAAAGGTCGTAAACATGTACTCATGTAAAAACTGCCCATGCTAGAAACTCATATAACTTTGGCCTTATGTCTGCCCTGTCCACCCTAGGGAGGGGTAGCTTATCTCAGAGGGTGGCTCAGATACTTGTACAAATTGATATGAGCTAGGAGTTTTCTTCCCCATAACTGTTATTTTAAATAGTCGGTAACACATGTAACGTTGCACTTTTAACGTTTTGTCTGTAATTTTGAAGTAAATCAGAATTCTCTCGGTTTTTGTTCTGTGTGGACGAACGTAGAAAAGATTTCACATCGGGAACCAACAAGAATCAAAGAAAAACTGTCAACAGACCAGTAAGTGTGAATAAATATCCCGTTTATTTGTTCAGTTGTGTTTGTTTCTTTCCTATGCTGTGTTCGATTTATTCTTTGCATAACATTTCCGGAATCTGCATTTTATGGATATTTTTAAAACTTGTCTGTTGGATATCAATGGGCATGAATACTGTTACGTCTCTGTTCGTTTGTTAATTTTCCGAGAAACTTCAGCGATACAAGTCCTTTCTTAAATAAAACTAGTTTATTCTTTCCGAATACAACTTTACCGATACACTTAATTTCCACAGTCACTTTAACTTAAAACACGCTATAATTCACAACGATTGACGCACTTTACTTAGGACTTGACTCGATTATCTGTCTCTATATCTATTTATCTACAATTATCTATGCCGTCACTTATATACTAAAATAGAGGGCGTCTGGCAAACACTCGAGCCATCACGATCCTTCTAGAAACTCATCACATGTTACCAGAGTCACGTGACTTCCGCTGTCGTAACAATGCCATAATCTAAATGATTGTTGATAAATCAGTACAAAGTGGTTGCAGTAGTATATTAATAGTTAACAGTAGCACTTGATATAGATATCAGAAACATAAACCTTCCACCAGAAAAAAAAAAATGGTCACAAGT